TGTTTTGGATGCTATCCTTAAGGTCCCCGATGTATCGAGCGAATAATTGAGTGCCAGACTCATAGAGATCATTCCTGACACTCAATCTATTGAACTCCTCTATGTATTCACTAACAGTTCACGAACCTTGCATACAGTGCTGATACCCCATATATAGAATCTGTTCAAAATCAGTAGGCAAGAACTAAGCCCTTAACAGTTCCTTCATCCGTGCCTAATTAAGTGCTTATGCGGCCTCAGCCTTCTCTCCGTCTAGTTTGCAATGTTTGTTCCCACCAAGCACTAGCAGCGCCCTTCAATCTACAAGGCACATATTTCACTTCTTTTTCTGGAGCAATATCCATATAATCAAAGAAATTCTTAACCGCCTTCTCCCAATCAAGATAATCTTCGATATGCAAATTCCCATCAAAAAATTAGATGTCCAGCTTCACCTTGAATTCACCTGGGGAGTGTGGGAACCGGTACATTCTTCTGTGTCTGTGACCATTTGCCTCCCACCTGTCATCCATTTCTCCTTCACTATAGTCCCTCGGATCGAAGTCGCGATGCCAAGGAGGCATCTCATCCTCCGAATCGATCGGGGCAATTTGATTCATATGGAAGTGTCTTTCGTGTTGACCAGTAGCATTTCCCCTTCTAGGAGGTAGCCTATTTGTAGGCGTCTCCTCCTGATTAAAGAATGGTGGTTCTCTCGCCGTTGGGATTAAACCCACGGTGAATCTCGACGGTCAGTCGCTGGACGTCTGCTGCCAGTTCGTCAATTCTCTGATTAACCCTTTCTTGGTTCGCCCAAAGTATATCGATTGTGTGAACTTCTTCCCTCACCAGCTCTTTGCCACGGTCCGTCATTCCCTTCTAGCAACCTACCTCTGATACCAACTGTTGTCCTTGTACATGATCGACAGCACCTGGAAGACAAGACACAAACACAATAGCAAACAACACAGGGAAAAGGCATAAGAAATACCTATGTATTATTCTCTGTATTCTCTCTGAAAAATACTGTTGTAAAGAAGAAAACAAAAACTGAACTATTGTTTTCTCTACTTCTCTTATATGTATTTTCCTTCCTAACTACTTTCTTCTATTTTAGAAATACGATAAAAGTTGAAAAATTATAAAAAGTGTTGTTAGCTGAAAAGTGATACTAGGTAGTGGGAGATAAGAGTTCGTTAGAGCCTTAGTGTGTACCGTCGTTATTAGCTACTTACCTGCACTGCATCACTCATCTACTATTCCTTGGAGAATAGAGTGTTCTTTTGGGCTCATGCGATAGTGCGATAAATTCGGCAATGATGTTCCACGTATAAAATCAATTTGATGCTGCAATTTACATAGTGGGGGTAAACCAGTTAGAAGTTCAGCTGGTATGAGATTGTCATATTCAGCCACCAAATTTTGGACTACAATAGGGACCAATTTCTGCTTGTGAGCTTCAGCACTATCAACTTTAGCATAGCCAGTGACTAAGAGGCCTATGAGGGTTGACTTCCCTGCCTTACATTGCAACAAAATGGAGCCTGGGACTATGCATACTACTGCTCTTTCTTTGCCATTAGCAAACATGGTGGATGGTTTACAGGGAAGTAGCTTGATCTCTCAGTTCTTCCACTCAAAGTAATAGATGTTCGAACAGTGGTCATGTAGGGCACCGTTATCAAATTGCCAAGGCCGGCCTTATATTAAATGGCAAACATCCATGTCTAATACATCATGCAGGACTTCACAAAAGTAGTGCTTACCAATGGAAAATGTGACGCGACACAAGTCAGAAACGGTAATCTCTATCCCCTTTCGGACCCAACTGATTTTGTACGGATTTAAATTTTTTGTAGTTTTTAATTGTAATGCTTTTACGGCTACGCGAGAAATGATGTTCTCCGTACAAACATTGTCGATGAGGAGTTCACACACCTTGTTGTTAATGGTGAACCGAGTATGAAATAAGGCATTTCGTTGAGACTCCCCTAGAGCCTGCGGAGCTAACAATTGCTTTTCCAATACACAAATATGTGGTTCTCTGTTATCCCCATGCAATTCTTTCTCTTCCAATTCAATTTCTAATTCGGCAGTCGTTGCTTTATTTTCTTGCTTCCTGTCTAGCAGTTGTAGTTGTTGTATGTTTGGACACTCGTTAAATTTATGTCCGGGTTGAAAACAACAAAAAATATTTCAATGTAGCCAGCCTGGCATATGGGTTTTCCCGCACATTGGTCCTGAGCTGGTTCGGACCTCTAGTATTCACAATAGGGGTTATAATACCACTAGCGACTGGTGGAGTAGTTGGCTGAGATGTCTTCAATACTGCTGTAACAGATTTAGTAGCTTCAATTCTCATTTCAGTTATGAATCTGCGAGTGTTGTCCTAGCGCGAGTACTGTCGTTGTATCTGATTCTTTACCTTCAATGCAAAATTGATTGCCTGTGATAGCGACCAAACAGAATTGAGTTCAAGTTTGTCTTGAATGGCATCTCGGAGACCACCTATATAGCGAGCTACTAATTGATTTTCAGTATCATTGAGATTATTACGTGCACTGAGTCGGTAGAATTCCTCTGTGTAATCTAAAACTGATCGGCATCCTTGCACACAATGTTGGCAATGTAGGTATAGCATATGCTCATAATCGGTTGGAAGGTAATGACCCCTCAGTAATTGTTTCATGTGATACTAACTTCTTAATGTGCCCTTACCTTCTCATCTACGGGACTACAAAACTTGCATCCACCTGACGCTGGCTCCACCTTGGAGTCGACATGCCACATATTTTACTTGCTTCTCTGGTGGAGTTTCCATGTAATCAAAAAAACGTCTCGATAACTCTTTCTCAGTCGAGGTAATCCTCAATGTGCAACTTCCCATCAAAGAATGGGATGTCAATCTTGACGAGGAATTCGCTGTACCCCCATTATAATTACCTGGACGTTTCCGTGTCCAAGAGGTCGGACGGTCTCCTCATCGGTAGAATCAACAATCTCTTGGAGCCGCGCGTCATCCATGTCATCCTCTGATTCAGATAGATCAGTCAATGTGGAGTGGGGGCGTTCAAGGTACTTATCTAATCTTACATGAGCTCTTAGAACCGGTAATTGGGGGTTTGGTCGTGGTTTAGGGGGGTGAGCTCTTAGAGTCGGATGTGGCAGATCTGGGATGGGTTGGGGGTGTTGTTCGATTGCACATCTCTATCGAGAAATGGTACAAGGTAGCTGTGAGTTCGTCAAGTTGCCTCACGGTGGTGTGTTGAGCAGCCAACGAGGAGTCAATGCTCCGATCCTCATCAGGAGCAGGGCCTCTACTTCCCTCCGCCATCCACGACAATATTGGCTCTGATACCAAACTTGGTGCAACAGAATAAAAGATATGCAATCTCTAGGCAAACCAGCGAGGGAAGAATAATGGAATAGAAAGTTCTGGTAAGAGCAAAGTGTATATATTTTCTGTATGTCTTTTTTTCTACATTTTGAAACCAGTTGTTAAATTATTTTTCCCACAACAATTTCATATTTTATTTTATAAACAATTAAAGTCATCCCAAACAAATTCTAAGGCAATTAAATTTTAAGAAAGCCTTTAGTGATAAATTTGCTTTTAAAAGAAATTAATAAATCAACTATAAAGATGTTACTTTTGTGTGTTTAACATATTAGTAATAGCTTGTTTGAGATAACTCTCTTTATTGCTTTGCTTTCAGATCGCAGCGGTTTCTATCTAACTACTACTTCTTTCCACTTTCATGAAATTTATGTACCTAAAAGCAAGTTTATTAGTCGCTTTCAAAAAAACATATTTTCCTCACAACAACTTTACAATTATCTTTGAAAAAAACTATTGACATCTCAAATATACCCTAAATATCATCAAAAGTTCAACTACACTATTTTTAATAGTTTAAGGTGAATTACATAAATATATATATATATATATATATTGCATCTTAGGTGCAAATAAATGTTGTTTCCAAACTTAGCAATATAGAGCTTGTTTGAGAGAACTTTCTCATTGCTTTATTTTTCAAATCACAATTATTACTCTATTTGATTACTCATTTCTCACTATTTTTTAGAAATTTATATTCTATGTGATGAAATTTATTTTTAGAATTGGCTAAGCCAAATTAATTAACCTGAGAAATTACCTAGAGACTCAGGCTTTATTTGAGAAGACGCTCTTGTTGATTCTTAACACAATTTTCTAGTACACATTTTTTTTATTTTTTTATTTAAAATTACTTTAAGAATCAACAAAAAAGCCGTGTCAAACAAAACCTTTTGCGCATTCGAAAGATCTCAAATGCCCAAAAATATTCACGATTATTTTATTATAATTATTTACCGTTTCCATAATTTTCAAAATAACACTTGAAATATAAATATCGACAATTACATAACCCAAAATGTTTTAATTAATCAAATGTTAATTGCACGTTGATAATTAATTTTTATTTTTCAACTTATTATAATTATTTAAAGTTTCCATCATTTTCAAAATGACACTTGAAATATAAATATCTATAATTACATAACCCAAAATGTTTTAATTAATCAAATGTTAATTGCACGTTGATAATTAATTCCGTTCAATAAAAGTGAAACAGAATAAACTCGATTTATCACTTTGGGATGGAACCGATCAAACGTTATAATTTCTTATTTTTTTGTCAAATTCATTAGCTGCAAAAGAATTACTGTACAGGTAAGAAAATAATGAAATATAATACAAGAATAGTGTTCTCCAGCCTTTGTACGTCGTATGCCTACCTTTTTTGAAACATTTCCGGTAGTTTTGGTAGATGGAGACGGAATTGTGAGGGCCGATGTTCCTTTTAGAAGAGCAGAATCCAAGTATAGTGTTGAACAAGTAGGGGTAACTGTTAAGAAGCATTGGTATGGCATGAACAAGATAGATTATTAGCTACGGAGTGCGGACGGGGAGAACCGTCCGCACAAGTATTGGGTACCTAGCGGTACCCGCACTTGGTCACACTCAGCACCTAATAATTTTTCCCTGAACAAAGCTTTTCAGGCTTTAAGAGTCATTCTCTGTAAGCGGAATCGGTTGTTCCTGTTGTTGAGGACGTCTATGTATATTCGTAGGCGTTGTTGATCGGAAATTGTGAGACAGACCGGCGGGTACAGGTTAAGGCATGGTGCTTCCAACAGAAGGAAATGTAGTAAAATCACCGCCTTCGAGTACCAAACCTCAGCCCTCTCAATGTTTTTCATCACCTCATCAACCTACATTTTGAAGAAAATTCTTCATTGGAATATGACTAGTAAATCATAAAGTAGGAAATACTTTCAGAATACTAATATAATATAGGTTTCGTTTGAGACAGCTTTCATACTACTTCTTAAAACAATTTTTTAGTAACTTTTTAGTGAAAAAATAAAATTTTATACTAAAAAACTGTTTTACAAAGCAGTAAGAAAATTGTCCCAAACGAAGCTGTATAAATAGTATGCATAGGACGAATTTCCACTCACAGCACCACGCCTTCCAAATGCAAGCGCGGATTGGAATATTAGCTCAATAGCATCGGGCATATGTGCAGCTTCTGCATGTAAATAACAGATAATATAAGGAACATGTAAAGTAGAGTTTTCTTTACTCGACAGTAGAGTATAAAAGGGACATTATACCTTCTACTTGTCCGACGTCCTTGGCAAGTTCCTCTGCATGCTCGACTGAAAGAAGGAACTCTTTTTCGATCTCAGATGAAACAGAATGAGAAGCTTTACTATTTTGGGGGGATTTAATAGTTTCAAATGACGGGCTTTCTTCTGCAGCAACGACAGCTTGTGCGTGACAGACGTGCAGACTTTGCTTCAGAATTGCTAGAATTACTAACTGAATGGAGAACGCCTCCAACAGCATATCATTTTCAAGCTGCAAAAAAATGTTGTTTGCAGCGTAATAGCTTTGTTAAAAATCGACATAAGCAAGTAAAGAATCATGTTTAATCATGTCTAAGAAAATATTGGTGAGATGCAAACATATTAAACTTGTTACCTCAGCATCTATAGGTGTAAATAAGATTGATATAATAACATAAAATGGTATATTAAATAAGTAACATCAAAAGAAATGAATCATATTCTTATTAAACTACTTGTTAAACATCTGCTACACATTGCCCATAAACATACAAAAACAAGATAGAAAATGCTCATTGCTCAAACATGTTTTATTTGGATGTCAAGCTTCTGAATTTAGGTTCAAGTAAATGACTATAAACGATCCTTAATGGCACTAGTATGGAGTTATTCATCCAACAAGTTGACCATTTTACAGGCCCATTTTACAGGCCTATTTTCAATGTTATTGTCTGCAGGAACTCTGGCTGCTCATGATTACAAAGATTTAGATTCTTAAGAAAAAAAAAAAAGAAATTTTGTTCATCGCCTTGAAATAGTCTCAAGCATCCAGTCAATATGCTCACCTCATTGATTCATCTGACTTCTGTGGTGAAAGAAATGGGTGGTTGAAGAACTCCTCAAAAGATACACGTTCCACTGGAGACATTTCATGCAATAAGTTTAAAATGACATGCCAATAATAATGCCAATAAGAACTATTGCTTTCACAACTAGACATGCACAACTTATGATTTATTAGCCAACTTGTTTTTAAGTTTGTTATGAGCTCAAATACTCGTAACATTAGAAGTAAGGTATATCATCTTAACGTTGCAAGAAAATCTCATGCATACATAAAAGTTAATGGTACATAGGGAATGAGAATTTTTAGGTGGAAATTTTAATAAAGAGAAAATCACAGGATGTAGTCTTGTAGAAATAATTTCACTAACATGAGTCAAGTATTACAAAGGATGCTCTTCCCTAAGTGTTATAAAATATAATAAACATAAACGGTCAAAGCACTCCTATCTTGGTAGGGATTTTTATTTGGTCCGGTGCAAGGACCTAGAGGAAGGTTCGGTTTTGCCTAAAAAAGTGCAAATACCGAGTTTTTTGAAAAAATACCGAGTTTT